AAAATATTCTCAAACGTTTATATGTATCTAGTTTAATTTTTTAAAAATAATAATTATTGGCACAAAAAGTAATTATTTAAAACTAACAATATTAGGGTTAGAAGGTTGAAAATATATATTCTAAAATGAATAACTTAAATTAAAATTTCATACAAATATAGAAAACTAAAAGTATACTTTAGTTAAATAAAAAAAAATAGCATCCCAATGACTTAAAAGATTAAAATAAGATATGGGTTAAAGATAAGAAAATTCTAACATGATATATAAAATAATAATGTCAATGTCAATTATTTTGTTTCTTGTTACAAAATATTCCCTCAATCTCTATATATAAGATATTTTTAATCAAATCACGTAAATCAATAAAAGTTGATCATCTAATTAAAAGTATAAAAATATTTTAATTTTGCTCCTAATTATTATAAATAAAAAATTAAATTTATTTTTTAAAGTAAATTAAGAAGAGTATTTATCTTTAATGAAAGTGCTTATCTTTTTTTTAATTTAATAAGGATATAATGGTTTATTCATTAAAAAATGCTAACAATCCTTTATATTTATAGATAAAAAAAGATTCTAAAAAATTTTTTATATATAAAAACAGAGGGACTATATCAAGTTCCACAATTCAAGTGGTTTTTGTAGCATTAAAAAAATAAAGCATTGAAGAATGAGATTGATATATGGATATAGATAGATGAGCATGCATTGATTCTAATAAAAAAAGGTTACGATCCCTTACATTTGTTTGGTTAAAGGAGAAGAGAAGGAGGGAGATTGGGGTTGTTTGAAACTTTTTTATTTTAATATTCTAAAAACTGGAGTTTTATAGAACATATTTTAAAAATAAAAAAATAATAAAAAATATGTTTTTCTCATTTTTCTTTATTATTTGAACAATAATTACATAACATCTAAAATTTATTTTTAATTTTTTATTATCCAAATTAATATTTTACTTTTTTTGTTCTCAACACTATTTAAAAGCCCATTACCAAATAAATATTTTTGTTTTCTTGTTTTGGAGAATAAAAAATTATTTTTAAAACAGGTTTTCACACAGACCCTTCTTCTCTTTATTTAGATGGAGCAAAGGGAGGATAGGAAAAATGTTTCTAAACTCTCCCTTCCAAATTAGGGGGAATTGGGAGGGATTTCTTTCATCCCTTCCCCTCTAGCTAGATATAATGATAAGTATAAGATCTTGAATTTAGGTTTAAATTTATGTGAATGTGAAAAACAATTTTGAAAAAGTTATTCTCAATTAAATTCAAAAATATTGAATTTGACTCAATCAGCTAATTTTATTAAAATAATACATGAGTATGGATGAGGCCATTTTGTTAGGAAAGATTACACTTAGGTCACACGAAAGATGATTTATTACTGAAAGGTTATATGAAATTTACAAAACACTTTCAAATTTTAAATCTTGTGACAAATTATAAATATTTATTGTCCAATTGTGAATACCCATTACCAAGTTATAAATACACATTATTTAAGATTTGTGGGTATTTTATAAATTTTATGGGACTTCTCATGTTAAATCCTCTTTTATGAGACATAATTGTAATATTTTCCAGTTTGTTGTGTGTGTGTGATAGAGCAGCATCGAGTAATTTGGCTTGGGGGGAAATCATGGCTACTGCAAATGGAAATTAACCAAAGGATCCAGCATCATTATAATTTGGAGATACCAATGATTCCCCATTAACACACAATCTTTTTAGTCAGATCTCATGCAATTCCCATGACAGTTTCACCCACCTTTTTTTTTTTACTATAGGGATGTTTATTTATTTATTCATTTTCTTATTTTAACAAACGATACCGTTATTTATTCTTAATATTGAATCTCATGAAAATTACCCAAATCCTTCCTTCACACCTCTCACGCCAAATGCTTATTTTTGAATACTATTTTATATATACTTGTCCCTCACAAAACAATAAAAATCAAACATATTAAAGACATTGAGTTTCAAAAATAACAATAGATTTTCTGAGTCCTCTTGCCTCAATTCACTTAAACGTAAAGATACAAAAGGGTTGGAATAAAAAGTATTTTTGATTAATGAGAATATAAAGTTGTATTGATTACAACTTGAAAGTTGGAAGCAAATCTAAACCTAAATTGAGAATATAAGGTAAATAACTTGAAAAATAAAATGAGATTTAGTGAATGGTATATCTAGTGATGACAATGACAACGACAATGATCCCTTGATGGTTCATTTGAATTTCTTTTTTAAGTGTTTGTTTGAGACCATTATGCCTGAAAGATCCAAAGTCCATGTGTAAAATATTCATGATCACTTAACACAGCCTTATGAGATTCATGGCACATCAAATAACACTCTCATACTCATTTAATGGCCTTTTCTATCCAATCACTCCAAGTTTTAAAAGTTACATTGAGTATGTGCATGGCACGCTTTCTTCTGATAATGAAACAAGCTTTTATTATTTGGGTTTGTAGTTTCAATTTTTTTTTCCTCCTGATTTGCGATTTTGGACTGTTGCTTCATTTATGGTACAAACAATATTCAAATGAATCTAATGCGTCCCCTCCAAACTCAAAGTGTGTGTGTGTGTTTTAAATATTTTCATATTATGCTAGGAGATAGTCCACACTCCGTGTCACAGGTGGGACACTGGGCAGCTCATGCACCACTCTCAATCATATGAATGCAAATATATGAATGATCAGTAGTCCAAGCATCTAACAGAAAAGACGTAGTATCCCTCTCTGGCTCTTCAATATCTATCTCTTCTGTTAAGTTATTCAAATCAGTTCTCACAGTCATCGCTTGATTTCAGCTCGTTAGGATCCACATTCACCCCTAATAAACTTCTAGGTTTAATATATGCCAACGTTTTATATAGAGTTTGGAGTGGAGTGGAGTGAGCTGGATCTATTTGTCATTTTTGGATAACATTATTTTTTCCTCATAAATCTTAAATAATGTACATAATCATCAGTATATGGACATTGTGGTGACGCAGACTATAACTGATAATAGAATCAATTTTTCTTAAAGAAAAGTACGACTTTTTATCTCTAAATTTGTTCTCGGCTATCGAGTATTAATTCAGTTTTTATATTTTTATTGGCTTGATATAACTCAAGTCTTATAATTTATTAATTTAAAAAGCCACAAGAACTAAGTGGTATTGAGAAATATTGAAGAATAAAAATTATATTATTATATTATTTTAACTTAGCCATTCAAGTATAACAATAAGAAAAAAGTTACATCACTTGCCCATGATCGGATAAAAATAAAAAGAAAAAATTACTTTAAGGTCCTAATATCTTGGGAGAATGACATAATTATTTTAAGTTCAGTTGTTAATGAATTTAAAATTAATTAATTATGTTGAGTGAGATTTATATAATCCTTTAAATAAAAAAGAACGTAGCTTTCCCGGAGAAAAAATCTGGACAAATAAATAAAAAACAGATAAAAAAGATTATAGATGTCAGCACAAGTGGAGTTGGTGAAAGAATTGTTACAATTACAATCATCCATTATCATTATTTCCGTACATTTATAATAAAAGTATTTTTACATGCAGTTGAAAAATTATGAATATTATTTATTTAAAAATAAACTATGAATATTTTAGTTTAGTAATTTTTTAGATTTTCGTTTAAGTAAAAAAAAAAAAAAGACCTTTGAACAGGTATTACCAACTTTTTTGTGATATTGCATCGAGCCATCAACTATGCATGCGTGAACCTGAAATGTGACCGTTTTGCCGTTGTTATTATTATTATTATTCAAGTACACAATATTGTTTTTTATTTTTAAAAGCTCACAAATATTTATTTTATTACCAAGTTTTGAAAATATCATTAAAAATAAATTATACAGATTTTCTTTGAGTTTTGAACAAAAATGCTACTCCTCTAATCTTATTTATAGGGTAGAGAGAGAAGATTAATTTTAGTCTTATTTATAGGATACTCCATTATTTTTTATATTCATCTTTACTTTTATATCCTTATTAAATACTAGAAAAAATTATTTAAAATAATTATTTTTGTATTTATTAGAGATAGAGGGAGAAACTTATTAAATTTTAAAATAGAATTAATAAAGCTTAAGATTTTTATCGGTTTCAATTAAATATATTAAAAATAACTTATATATAGGATCAAAAAGAGTATGAGCTTATTTAGATTTCAGTTGGGTATAATTAATTATAAAATAATTAATTTTAATTATAATTAATTATATTATAATTTAATTTATTTGAATATTATTTATTTTAAATTAATTTTAATAGAATTGAAGATTTTTGAATAATTGAGTTAGAATCAATTTTAGCTGTGCAAATTATCATAATAGATATTGCTTTTTAAAATTAAAATTGTAAATTTTTATCTAATATTATTAAATTTGTTAAATTTTATTTAAGAAGTAAAATTTATTATTTAAATTATATATCTAATTAACTATAAAAGTTTAAATTATATTAACATTGTAAAAGTAGAATTTTTTGGCTAATAATCGATTACTTAAATCCCAGAAGCTCCTTCTGCGAGATTATATTAAACATCAATTTTTTGGCTAATAATTGATTACTTAAAAATATTGTTGCCCGGATAACTTCCACTAAAAAATTGATTTTGACTTCAAAAATTTATTTTACGTTTTATCCAAAGAGGTAGCATGTATATATTTTATAGAATTAGGGAAATTTTGAATAATTTCATTTTTTATATTTGTTGGATGAAATAATTAATGTAATTTTAATATATTCTTGAAATAAATTTTAAAATAAAAATAGACATAATTAAATTTTTATTAACGTAAAAAAGTTTATAATTTTAGCTTAATGTCTAATTTTGATACGAAGTGGCGTAATACTGTAATGTTTGCAGACGGACAGGTAGATTTATGTCAAAAAAGCGAGTAGATTTGGAGGGCATGTTTACAAAAGCGCTGGTCTCTTTCCTCCGAACCACTCTACCCAAAAAAAAAAAAGAGAGAGAGAGAGAGAGAGAGAGAGATCAGAGACTTCTCTGACTCTCACTCTCTTCGTCATCCATTAACAGTCTCCATCTTTCAAACTCCGATTCTCCTCTCCCTCCTAATCACAACTTAAATCATCTCTTCGCCTCTCTTAACACGCACACGCACACGCTCTCTCTCCCCTCTTTCTCTCTCTGAGCTCCCTCTCTCACCCACCTTGCTCATCATACTCATTACTCAGTCACTTCACTTCTTTCTCCCACAAATCTCAATTTTGGAATTTCCCGTTTTTGAATGAATTTCGGTTCTTCCTATGGATCCTCCTCTCATCAACGAGTCTACATTCTCCTCCGCTAACCCTTCTGCCTATAGTCTCGCAGAGATTTGGCCTTTCCCTGGGGACCACCCGGCCGGACCCGGATTGGGTCTCCGGATGCCCCATTTAGGTCACAATTTCGGCTCCATTCCCGATAATTCCCTCCATCGAGATGCCTCCGCAGAGGAGTCCACCGTCACCGAGCAGAGCGGCGGCGGCGCCGCTGCCGCCAGTGGAAATCATAGGAAGAGGAAAGATGCCACCTCTGAGGACGAGTCCTCAAAGATGGTTTCCATGACTAGTGCCAGTGATTTGGTTGGTCTTCATTTTTAACTTAATTTTGATTTGCTGATTTAATTCTCTGCTCACTTCCTCAAACAACGAATGCAAAAGGGGTGAACATAAATTTTGATATCTCAGGCTGTGAATTCTTGCGGCATTTTTTTCTTTTGGGTCACGGTTAATGAAATGATGAGCGTTTGTGTGATAACTCATTCTTTAGCCTTTGATCTAGCATGATGAAAAGATGAAAAGATGTAGAGGTTGTGTGGCACCGGAATTGTCGGAATTCCTTAAATTATTATCCTACTTTCCAACCATGAGGTATTCCGAGATGAATGGCTTTCGTAAGGGGTTCCCACTGCGAGGATTAAGAAATTTTTTTCAATTAAATTCTGCACCTTTTCCGTGTCATCGGTCAAAGATTAAGTCCAAGTCTAGGACCATAGGGATAGGATGGCATCTGCAGTTTGCCTTTCCCTCTGAACAGTGTTTTTATTTTGTTTCGGTTTCTTCTTCTGGAATTATTTAATCTTATAGCTTTTTTTGGAAAAAAATTATTGAACTGAACTACAGTGTTTCCTTGATAAGGATGGGTGAATGAAGTTATATGAAGTGAATGGTATTAAGCCGTTATATACTTTGGAGTGAACTTTGAATCTCGCTGGTCTTTCCTGATATCAAACTCTTTTTACTTGCTCAACTCATTTTTTGAATCTGATTTGTGATGATGTTTCCTTATATCGGTGCAGAATGATTCTGGCAATAAACGGATAAAATTAGGAGCATCCAAGGATGAAAATGGTGGTCTGAAGGCTGAAGCAGAAGCAAGTTCAGTAGGTGGTAGCAAGTCAGCTGAACCAAGCATTAAACCTCCTGAGCCACCTAAGCCGGACTATATACATGTAAGAGCGAGAAGAGGCCAAGCAACTGATAGCCATAGTCTTGCAGAAAGAGTAATTCACTGTTCTCTTATATCTTCCATCTTCACCAAGCTTTAAATGCTTATAGAGACCTAGAAGTGTTTTTAGTTGGTTCCTGTCACTTGAAAGTTGAAACATCTATTTTGGCAGGCAAGAAGGGAAAAGATCAGCGAGAGGATGAAGATTCTTCAAGATTTGGTCCCTGGATGTAACAAGGCAAGGATAATTATTTGTGGAATCTGTGCTGGATTATTGCTTTCAATTATTGTTTCCGTATCATTTCTGTAACTAAATGATAATAAATATCAGTTGTCTTATCCCTTCATAGCTTGTCTCTCTTATTGAATGTATTTGGTTGAATTTTCTTTTTCTGCAGGTAATTGGTAAAGCACTTGTCCTGGATGAGATAATCAATTATATTCAATCGCTGCAGCGGCAGGTTGAGGTGAATATTTTCACCTTTTTATCTCTATTGCTATTGCCACTTACTAAATTATTGGGAAAATATCAATAAAGACCTCTTTCCAGACTTATTTTGAATCAAAGCTCCTAAATTTTCTGAAATATCAATGCAGTCCAAGGGTCCTGACTTGATATTAAACTTTTAGAGAAATGACAAAATTGCCCCTCATTTAAATTAATATCAGAACTGCCTTACTTCACTTGTTCATTACCTTATGTCACTTGTTCATTTACTTACGGAATATTATTCATTGTCTTACTTCACTTGTTCATTTATTTGGAATGAAATCAAGTGAAAGTTTGATAATAAATAAGTAAAATAGAGTAATGAACAATATTCTGTAAGTAAATAAACAATATTTTGTAAGTAAATGAATAAACAAGTCGTCTTAAGATGATTTAAACACTTGAAATAAAATCAAGTGATAGTAAGGCAATAAACTAGTGAAGTAGGGCAATGAACAACATATAATATGGGAATCAAAAAGTTGTCTTAAGATGGTTTAAACACTTAGAATAAAATCAAGTGAAGTAGGACAATTAACAATATTCCATAAGTAAATGAACAGGTGAAGTAGGGCAGTTCTGATATTAATTTAAATGAGGAGCAATATTATCATTTCTTTCAGAAATTTAATATTAAATCAGGGCCCTTGGACTGCAGTGATATTTCATAAATTTAAGGGCTTTGATTCAAAATAAATCTGTTTAAGGGGTCTTTATTGATATTTTCCCCTAATTATTTTTGCCCTTCACATCTTAATCTTACCTGTGATGCACAAATATTGTAGTTCCTTTCGATGAAGCTTGAAGCAGTTAATTCGAGAATGAACATGAACCCCACTATTGAAGGGTTCCCTTCAAAAGATGTAAGTCGCTGACTTTAACTGATGATGAGCACATTTTCTTACATGAAAGCCATTTCCAATAACGCATATCGTCTTTTAAGTTTAACACTGTACTTTTACATCCCTCTTTATAAATTGCCCTTTTCATTGTTCAGTGCTTTGATTTTCATGAGTTGTTTGTGTTGCATAATTTGTGAAAGTATACTCTTCTCATCAGTTATATTAAGATTGGTTTGTGTGCTCAAATTTACCTTTAAGATTCTCGTACAGATGTTACCCATTTATGATGAGCCTTTGGCATGTGTTAATTCACAATTAACTTTCATTTCAGTGTATATTTTACTTCTCTTTCATTTAACAATATAATTTTCATTCACAATCTAACTTACGCATGACGCTGAACCAACTGTTCCAATTCAAAGCAAATGCTAACTTTCCTTTCATTAACAAGAGAGTAGACGTTATTACTGAAAATGAAAAAATAATTTGCTTGAGTATTTCTTGGAGACTCACTGCTTCTGGCCTCAATTTGACTTATCGAAAATTTCCACGTGCTCAAAATTCTTTATTGTAGTCCTAACGCAACTTGCTTTTTTTTTCCTGTAAACTGACTTTTTATGAATCATGAATCAAAATAACTTAAAAGTTGATGCCAATTACCCAACACGATCTTCCACTATTTCAAAATAATTGTGGTTTTATATTCTCTTTGGTCTCAATAATGTTACACAGAGGTTTATCATTTTCCTATTTCTTAGTTTTTAACAAGTTGATCTGTTGTTCCAGCTTGGTGCTCAGGCATTTGATGTTGCTGGAATGATATTTGGATCACAATCAGGCAGGACGTATGCTCAGGGAACACAACTCGGATGGCTGCATATGCAGATAGGTGGTGGTTTCGAGAGAGCAACATAGTTCAAGGAGATTGGTTGCTTAGCATATGTTCATTTAACAACCTAGTCAATTGGTATAGAATGTATTTGGTCAGTGTGTCTCTTGTTATTATATGGTATCATTAGTAGGAAGTGTTTGTAATCTCCATGTGCGTCATCTGACACAGCATATTGTGCTTCACCATGCTTGCCACCAGAAACAATCTTCGTGTGGTTTTCGTTTTAAAACTATGCTGCTATAGTGTTCCTTTCACTTGATTTGTTTTCTTTGTGGCACAAATCGTATTTATCATCAGCTTTTGTATGTGTCTATCCAGTGGAAACTAATATGAGCATTACAAGTTAGTGAATTATTGTAACTAACTGACTGTGAGAAAGCTAAAGCTAACTTTGTCCCCAAAAACCGTCTCTTGTCAAGGTTACAATGGCCGCTTCATTCAATGCTAATATTGAAATACTAAATTGCCATTTTTTTTAAAAAAATAAGTTAATAAAGAGCAAAAAAGTAAAAATATTCAAAAACGTTTTTTTTTTAAATACTTAATATTATAAATTTTTTTAGAGCAATATTGCCTCGGTTTCTAACACTGGACCAATTTTATCTTGTCATTAATTATGTTGATCATTGAATTATTTTGTCTAACCAATTAATGCACACGTGGCATGCTGAGTTAGATAGTTAATTAATAAAAAAATTAAAAAAAATATTTTTGAAGTTGGAGAGAGAATCAGGGGAGCCACCAGCCCACCACCACCCAACAAATTCCAAAACCACCATTCACCACCTTCATGTGACTGTCGTCAGAAAATTTAGGTTGAAGGACATATACCAGCCTAGAAACCTTACTCGTTTTTGCAAATCTTGCTCATCTCATTTAAATCAAAAGAAGATTTGGTTTTCTGTACCAACCTAGAAATCAAAAGCAAAAAGGTTAAGGATTAATTTTGTCCCTAAAACATACACAAAAGGTTACAAAATGATCTTAAATTTAATTATAGATCATTTATATCCCTTAACTTAAATATTTTTTGTTTCATTACCTTACCGTTTAATAGTTCATTTTTTTCCGTTAGTGGGTCCACATTCAATTTTTTTAATATTTTTTATTATAAAATATTATTTAGTGGGTCACACTATTTTATACTTTTTAATAATATAAAAAACTCGATCTCTCTCTTCCCTCTCTCCCCTTCTCCCTTCCTCTCCTTGTCCTTCATTGCCCCTGTACAAAGTCTTTAAGCTTGTTGTTGGAAGCTCAATTGAAGATAGCAAGAGGCTTAACAAGAGGAATAGCTTTCATTCAAGATAAGAAATAAGTTCATGGCAACATTAAACCCTCCAATATCTTCTTCAACTCAGACATGGAACTTGTCGTCAACAACTTCAACCTTGGTCATGTCCTCTGCAACTTCAGCAGCTAAAACCTTAGAGCTAATAGTTCGTCTGCTCTCATCAAATAGCCAACTAAACCCAACAACCTTGCTCCTTTCCTTCTCTCCCTCCTCCCCTACTCTTTCTATCACCCTTCCTCTCCTTCTTTGATTTCTCGACCCCTTCCTTTCTTCCTTTATTTTTGCCAGCTTCACTGTTGAATACACATCATGTTTGCCTTCTGCTTTCTTGACTCCTTCTCTCCTTCATGCACCTTGATAGGTATTTCAATATTCTTTCGTCACTATCGATGACCACCTTAACATCCCTCTCTGGCCCCCATAAAACAGAGCCTTCATCTTCTGCTTTCTCTCATCTTTCTCACATATACATGCCTCCTTGAGAACCTATTTTTTGAGGCAAAACCAACACTGAGAACCTACGAGACCATTGATGGTGGTGAAGAGAGAGTAGTTGCTATTGATGCGACGTTGAGCAAAAACTAAAATGGATTATTCTCAAAGAGATTTCTTCTCAAAGCAAGATGGAGGAGAGAGAGCAAAAACTGAAATGATTGTTGGCAACGTTTTCATCTTCAACCTCTTTAGAGCTTCTTTCGCATGGTAGCCATGCCAAAGGAGAGTGGGGTGAAAAAGAGGAGAGTGGGAGATGGAAAAGAAGGGGCAAGAGCAGGGTGTAAGAGAAAGTAGATGAATGGAGTATAGAGAGAGAGTTTTTTATATTATAAAATATATTAAAAATGTGAGACCTACTACATAATATTTTATAATAAAAATTTTAAAAAAAATTTGAATGTGGAGCCCACTAATAAAAAAAGGCACACGATAAGATAACGAAACAAAAAATATTTAAATCGAAAATATAAATCACTGATAATTAAATTTAAAATTACTTCTAACTTCTTGAATTTAAAGTTATTTGTCACTTTCATGTATATTTTAGAGACTCAAAGCAAAAATACAAGGCCCTAAATAAAAATCAAGTAAATATAGATCCATCATCAATCCAAATGAATGAATAAACAGAAGTCTTATTGATGCATCATCAAAATCAATGGCTTGGTGGTGAGCATTAGTTACCACAAAGGGAAGCTCGGGTTTTTAAGGAGGATATAAGAAGTTGAGTGATCTAGTCTGAGCAGAGCGTTAGGGAAGCCAGAACATGGGAGCAAAGCTCCATCTGTGCATAGCGCGCTCGCTCAATCTGCAACATGGCATGGATCGTTCCCAGTCTCTTCTAAAGCTCCATCTGTGCGTAGTGCGCTCACTCAATCTCGCTGAATCTTAATCTTCTAAAGCCCTACTCTTCTTGTCCGGCCTCGAAGACCCTCGCCCTCTCTTCTCTGTCATTCTAATGATAGCTAAGAAGTCAAAAACCAGAGAAAGAGAGGTCAAGGTCCGAAAGTGGGGATTACTTCAACCATATGAAGAGCAAGTGAGCAACATTGATCCTAGCTGTACAACCCTAACAGTACAATTGCAACCTTAACCGCCCCAGCCCCACAACGGAAATTACAAACATAATGGAAACGAAAAAGGAAAACAACCTGAGAATCTAATTGTACAATTAGCAATACAATTCCATAGGTCAAAAATTAAAGGAACCATCACAAGGAATCAGCAAAACAAGCACGATTTTCTCCACTTGTAGAACCAGGTTTTGGATCGAACACGAGCTCCGACGGACAGATCAAGCACTTCGAATAACCACCAATACTGAGATTGAAATTCCAAATGGCTTTTGGGAAAGCGGTCGTGCAGCAGCCAACGCCGGAGCAGGATCCGTTCATCATGAGTGTCAAGAAGGATCTCTGAACCACCCTTCACTTGTGCCGAAGGGATACGAGATGCTCACATTCTCGCACTTGCTGTTGCAACCTACTTTCTATTGGACTTGCTCATAACTTGAACCCTTGATGTTGTTCATTAATCTTTTGAGCGACTCTCGAATCTCGTTTTCTAGGAACCAATCTAGGTTAAAATTAGGAATTTGGCTGATGGATCGGATTTCATGGTTAGAAGATTTTGAGGGAGACGGAGAAGCGAGAGGTGGAGGAATTGCCACAGTGATGAATCTGCAAAGAAGCAGACGTCGAAGCTGTAGGCATTCAAATCCGTGCTGAGAAGAAGAAGAATGGCTCAGCATATGACACGTGTAAAGTTGGGTCAAAATGTCAGAGTTAACCGTCAACAGTTAGTCGAAGTTGATGACGGGTAACATTACACCGTTTTATGAAGGTTTTGAGTGACATTGCTCATAAAAAAATTTAACATTTTAGACATTTCTGAAAGAAAAGTTTTAGAATATTTTTCTCCTTTTGTCCGTTAATAAATTAGTTATCTTTCTCAGAATAAAGCATTAAGTTACTTCAACAATAATGAACAAACCAAAAAATAAACTGTAGTACTTAATTGTGGAGAATAAAAAAGTCTGTCAACAATTGACACGATTAGTAATAATTGTGTGTGCTCTGTGTGTGTGTGTGTGTGTATGCTTTGTGAACTTAACCTACAATTGTTGAAATTATTCATTTATCATATTACTCTGTCGAAGCTAAGCTAAACCTACCCACCCTTTAAGTCACTGCGTTAATCTAATCAAGTTTTAATCTTATAATATTTATTTATAGCTACACAACCATTCATTATTCCATCTGAATTAATTGATTACACTGTCGTTAATATATCAATTCATAAAGCGATAATGATTAACATAATCTAATTGACAATCTTCTGCTGAGCATAAAGCAGATGTATATGGATTTAGGTGTGCCCTGCTTCTTTCCTTCTTTTGTCATGTTTTTTACGTATTTTTAAATCATTAAATGTTTCTTTGTGATTAAACCGAATGTGAGAGGTTAAAGTTTTTGAGGAAAAAGATCACACTATAAGCTTATTAAATCTTCAGATCCAGCCTGATGTATTTTATCATTTTTTACAGATGAGGTAAGTACGAACTAATGCCAGAAAGGAAGTTTCAAAACACTCCATATAAAACAATCAGATCAAATCCTGGACAAAGGGTGTTCAAATGAACCTATTGAACAGTACAAACCTAGTAAAGGGATATTCAAGACATCATATTAGCTTTGAATTCCCATGTAGTTGATCTCTATTTTACAACCATTACAGAGACATCCGTGAGAGATAGAATATAAGTTGCTATCACCATCTATTAATCTGATACTTGAGCAGTTCATGGCAAAGCAAATAGTGCCCGAACACCTCACAATTACCATTACCATCATTCCAATTCCAAGTATAAATATAATATCGTTGTTTTGTTACAGCAGAGTCAAGACACTTCTACTAGTGAAACTCCGCTTCCTATTCCTGCCACATCAAAACAACAGTGAGAAATTATAATATCTACCAAAAATATTAGAATCTTACGTATACATAAAAGCAAGATGTTGACTTGTTATTTTACCTGTCTCGTTGTCTGCATTATTAATTTTCTGATTCCCATGTTCTGCCAAGTGAGCTTTAGTAACCTGAGCTGGGACTGCTTGATGACCATTGAGGTCTTTTTCTTTCTTATCCTCCCAATCATCGAGCTTGGGAGGAGAGATGTTACTGCTGTGAAATAGATAAGCTTGTGAATTGAACTGTTGGTAATCCTCAGCATTCAAGCTTTTGTGTTCCCGAAATTCATCTTCCATTAAGCTTCCATATTTTTCTCTGTAAACAGCCAACTCATTCTCTAATCCCACTACTTCTTCCTCTCTTTTGAGTAGCATCTCATTAGTCGCACGCAGGGACTCTTCATCATACTCTACTTCCTCCTCCATCATTCTCTGATACTGTAAAGCCTCCATCTTTATCGCCGCTTTCTCTGACTGTAAACGTGTGATCATGGCCATTGCATTGTTAGCAGCAACAGCCGAAGCATTTCTTTCTTCATCCAGTTCCATATACAAAGCCATGAGTGGCTTTCTATCCAGACGAACTTGTCTGTTCGAAAGGTTTAAGGTGGCTTCCTCTCCTTCGTTAGATTCTGGGTTTGATCCTGTTTTCTCCACTGTCGATTGCCTGTCGATCCTGTAATAATATCTGGGACTGTTGGTGGCAAAATCTACATGTGGAGATCCAAGAAATTCATTACCCGTTGGCAATGTTGAGGTTTTGATCTCGTCCTTCAAATTATCAGCTTCTGTCAATAAAGGTACGGAAGCAGCTTTGGTATCATCCTTCACTGTAAAAGAAAATTGAGACGCTGTCAGCGACATTTCTTGGCATGATTAAACTGCAGACACGTAAAAATTACAAATTTACTTTTTATATTATCGTGCTCACAAAGCTCTGAATTAACTCGAGGTGAAGGAGCTGGAGCTAGATCTTGTGAAAGTTTGACTGCATTTTTGGCTTTGGAATGAAATAACTTGACCTTCAATGGCTGTCCACAGCAGGAACATTTCTGGGTATTGCTTGTCTCTTCACACACATCCTCATTAGTCAGACTCAATTGAATTTCTATGTCATCCCCCACGAAGCATTCCAGATCCTTTTGCAGAACCCCAACGAGAGACTTGTAGGTATCACAATCTGATTCCCTCTGCGTTGCAAAAGAAAGAAGACACGCCTCGCACATGTTCCTTATGTCAGAGAGTTTCTTGTGCTTGTGACAGTACGCGATAGACGATATACCCTTCTTGTGAAACTCACATATGGATTCGTTGCAGTAACAGTCGGACTTTTATGAACCATTACGTGATCACTGTTGCTGGAACAGAGCAGGCATGGGATTTTCAAATGGAAGAAGATGGCGAACTCATTGGCTGCGAAAGCGAGAAACTCGTTAAGGAAAAGTATGCCTATCAGCATCCATTCAAGGACTGTGTATATCAGTAAGTGTGGGAATTTTCCAAGTTCTTCCTCAACACAGCGAATCAATGATCGAGTGCCCATGCCCATGGTGGTTTTCTCTTTAGGTTGCTAATGAAGATGAGTGGTGAAGATTGCGGAAGAACCAGAAAATAGAGGAGGATATCAATGGTAGCGAGAAAGAAAAAGATCATGACCCAGCAAGGATTAACCCTAAAGAGATCACGACCTTTTTCTCTGTTCTATCCTTCTAGGTTTCTCTCGTTGAACGTTTCTGCAAGGAAGGAAGAGAGAAGTGAAGAAGGTGGATATGTTAAGAAGCGAGGCTTCAAAAGTTTGGATGGTAGAACTCGTTTGGCCATATATAGTAACAGAGGCTGGAAAAAAACAAACAAAGGGGGTATTACGCAAACAATTACCTGAATTAACGGTCGATCATGCAATGCACTCTTAGCAGTTTCCTGTAATTAACTCTGAAAATAAGAATATCCTTTCCATATCTCTCACAAATTGTTAAACAAGAGCAACGGCAGTACACACATATGGCCATGTCTTGTCAAGGAAAGATACATATTTAATATTCATATAAGAAGACGTAGTTTTTTTTTTTAAATTATTGATATTGCCTAAAAAAAATTTAATTTATTCTTAGTAAATATATTATTTTTAAAAATGTTTTTCCTTTTACGTGAAATATATATTTTTTAGTTTTTTAAAATATCGCCACAACCTATAGTTATAAGATTAATTTTTTAAAAAATTTGGATGCCATTTAAATGGTTATTATTATGTGAAATATTTTACTCAACTAAAAAAATTATAAAAAGGTTAAAAGTAAAAATAATTAATAATAATTTTTTTTTTACAAAATGACAACAAGATAATTTTTTACATAATACCGGTATCCTTTGGTGGGAGCTTAAAGTTTACCTATATATTATTAATTATTGAAAATGATGATCATGGTTGATGCAAAGATCGTGATTATCACGGACACGAATAGCGCGTCATGCTATGAGAGCCAGCCCAGGGGAGTTCCACTCTGATTGGTTCTCGAAATCCTTCTGTACTTGTGCCAATTGTCACCTTTGTCATCGTCGTCCCGCGTTTGTCTCAGTCCGTCTGCATCTTCTCTTCCGTTTGTGATTACGGCCCCAAGAAACTAACCAGTAACCGAAAATGGTGTCCACGTCGCAGAAGAAAAACCTTCACTCCCTCCTTGCTGCAAACCTTGGCAAGCTCACCATACCTTCCTCCTCCTCCTCCTCCTCCACCACCACGCACCATGATTTTGACTTTCTGCCTTTCTCTTCTCACGATCCCAATCCATCCCCGTCCACTGCCATTCCTGGGAGCCCACAAGTTATCCAGAGTAGGTCCCACTCCTTTGTGGGACCTTCCCCACTGTTCGCTCAGTCCTCCAATTCCCTGGCGTTTCTTGATGAACTCGATTCCCAGAGCGATGACGAGGCTGAAATTGATGCCCTGAGTGGGTTAGGAAGTGATTGTGCGGTTGGCGAAAAGCAAGTGGGTGTGCGTGATTCTGGAGAGGAATTGGCCTGCAAAATTGGACCTGGGGATTTTCAAATTTTGAGAGTTGTGGGGCAGGGCGCGTTCGGGAAGGTCTTTCAGGTAAGGAAAAAGAGTGACCGTGTGGATGGAGAGGGGGATGGTGGTGGTGGTAATGGTGATAGCATTTTTGCAATGAAGGTGATGCGGAAGGAGACGATCATAAAGAAGAATCACGTCGATTATATGAAAGCCGAGAGAGATATTCTCACTAAAGTGGTTCATCCTTTTATCGTTCAGCTCCGGTACTCTTTTCAGGTGCTTTTTCTCTACCTTGATTCATGTTGAACCTATCGAAGCCATTCGTTTGGCTTGATTCTTCAATTTTGAATTCTTATTGGGAGGGATTACTTATGGAAAACTCTCTCTCTCTCTCTCTCTCTCTCATTATAGACTAGCATTCCAAACTTTCATGTTAGCCCACTAAAGTATCGCCGATGATTCGCAAGTTCAATTGTAATTTTCGTATGCAAGCACCAAGGAGTAGTTATCCTTGTAGAATCTAATTGACCTTTTAATCCCTCAAGCTCTGGCATCGTTGCTCTCAGTTTAGAATTTAGATGTTGCTATCTGCATCTTCTCCTAAATATGGTGATTTAGTGTTGATATGAGAAGATGGTGCACTCCTAGCAACATTCAGTTTATTGACAGAAAGTCACGTGTGTCTCATTAGGTGATCTAAGAAACAGTCAGCACCTATTAAATCTGTTCTAGTGACTTCTAGACGTTAGCAACATGAATGTAGTAAAATAATATCTAGTTCTAAAACAATTTTACTCAGTTAAAGTTATTTTCTAGTTCTGTCTAACTCTTTAGATATGTAGAATACTCTGGCACTATAATTGTTTTGTGAACATTTTTTTCGTTTTTAATTTCCCCTTTCTTTCTAGCTTAATCATTTCAATGACAAGTAACTTGCTTTTTTGTTTTATTTAAATGTTTGTGCAGTCTAAATCTAAATTATATTTGATCTTGGACTTTATAAATGGAGGACATCTCTTCTTTCATCTGTATAGGCAGGGTATCTTCAGGTACCTCATGCACAATTCCCCTAAATACTGCAATTTACATATTCAACTTCTTAATTCTACCTTTGGTATGTCTTGAGTAGTGAGGATCAGGCAAGGCTTTACACTGCTGAGATAGTATCTGCTGTTTCCCATCTTCACAAGTGTGGGATCGTGCATCGGGATCTTAAACCTGAAAATATCCTTATGGACGCTGACGGGCATGTAATGGTGCTGCCCACCCGCTTAATTTTGCTTAAGGAAGATGCTTAAATCTTGTCACATGTCCTTGTTATCTTAAGTTTTTTATCTGATTCTTTATATTATTTCCTTTGCGAAATGACAAGTGATCAATCAAAATCATCAGTTTTGTTATGAGATTTTTTGAATGATGCAATTTTTTTCTTAAACTAATTTTCTTATTCAGGTAATGTTAACTGATTTTGGATTGGCAAAGGAAATTGATGAATCAGGGAGATCTAATTCTTTATGTGGGACCACAGAATACATGGCTCCAGAAATCTTACAGGCTAAAGGCCACAACAAGGAAGCAGATTGGTGGAGCACCGGTATACTGTTGTATGAAATGCTAACAGGGAAGGTAATTCTATCTCTTGTACCAATCATTTTCATTGAATAAGCTGTGTGTTTATATGAAGGCTCAACACTCAACTGGGATTTATGTGTGTAAATGATAGAAATATGCAGCTGGAGAGTCAGTGCATGCATAGGAGAGACTTATCTATGTAATTGTCAGACATTTAATTTTTATACTTTCCCATGATTTGGTTACTTAGTCCGTAAACGTGTTTGTGTCATTCAGATCTAAGGTCTTGTCAGTCTAATCATTTAAAACTAAAACTGGTATGTTGGTTTGTTTTCACCATTGATGACAAAATTGTCAATCCTGATAGCCTTTCTCATAATGAGGATCAATCTTTTTAATTTGATGTTTGGACTAATCTATCTGTCATGTTGTGCAATTGGGTCTCTTTTTTGTTAATTTATTTCTGATTAAGAAAACATAAGGTTGACCTATGCCTTTTGGGGCCATCTTGGGAGATTCCTTGGGAGTCTATACACATTAAGCCACACACTACTACGACATTGACAGCTGCGATCTGTTTCCAAGTCAATGGGCTATTGCTATGTAACAAAACGTCTCTATTCAGTTTTTTTCCCCCTGATTATTAACTTCTATTTTGCAGCCCCCATTTACACATGCTAACAGAAAGAAACTTCAAGAGAAAATTGTTAGAGAGAAAGTGAAACTTCCACCATTCCTGAGTGGTGAAGCCCACTCTTTGCTTAAAGGAGTAAGTATGCAACAGCATTCCATATCCTCCATTGTCTTTTTTCTAGCCTATAATAGAAGTTAGATATGTTTTTTCCCCTAAATATAGGGCAAGAGTTATATGTTTGTTATTTTTCTCTAATATGATTATGTTTAATTTCTATTTGGAAAATGAGGTGTGGAATTGACCTTTGAAGCCATTGTTTAATTACTTCTCAATGTGAAGAAACTGAAAATTGACCTTGAATCAAAGACCAATATACCATGTTGATAAGTGTATGTGTATTAATTTTATCATTCCTATTACCATTGTACCATCATAAATTCATAATTATAAAATGCTTGAATTTATATATAATAATAACCTCTGATAAGTCTACTATTTATGAGTCATGAATAGCATGATTCATTTCTCAGATTGTGTGTAACACATGAGACCTACACTAGTTGATACTGACTTTGTTCCAAAGTAACTAGTTAACTAATTTGTGCTCAAATAAATATCTTCTAGTCCAATTTCTTGGAACTCATACAAGGGTTTTCTAAAATACATGATTTAAAAACCTGTTGGGTATTAATGTACTTGGATTTCACTTCATTTTATTAAAAATATCTTGTTTTAAATGTGTAATATTAATAAAAAAAATACATTCTAGATATGTAAAGAACTATAAATTTCTTCATACTTCACAGTTGCTGCAAAAGGATCCATCAAAAAGGTTGGGCAATGGACCGAATGGAGACAACCAGATCAAAAGTCACAAGTGGTTTGGCTCAATCAATTGGAAGAAACTGGAGGCAAGAGAGCTGCAGACAAAATTCAAACCAGATGTGAGTGGGTTAGACTGTACAGCTAATTTTGATCAATGCTGGACCTCAATGTCTCCTGTTGATTCACCAGCACCCACACCCACAGCATCTGACTATTTCCAGGGCTATACTTACGTGGCACCGAACCCTTGGCTTTCATCTAGCTAGACTGAAGGAACATAAAGCAAATATCAATGAGTTTTTCAGATGGTTCAATCTTCAAAGAGTGTCCTGAAGCATGCAGGCGAGTCTCACTGAATAGTGAATAGTATTGTAAGCTAACTTGTAACTTCTGTAAGTGGCTAACTATTCTAAAAGGGAACACCATCCCCACCTCTGATACCTTTTTAAAAGGAGATGGCTCTTAGCAATAATGAATGTAGAAATAAATAGCCATTGATCAAACTCGTTAAAGTAAGTTTATCATATCTCAGTTTCGAGTCTGTACGATTTATTTTGCATTAATGGAAATATATATCATTTAGTCTGCATGGAGTCATTCTAAAAGGGTCATGAAATAAAATGAGCAGATTTGATTTCCTGTTCATCAAGTTTGTCTGTCCTGCACCTTCTTTCTTGTATACAGGTGAACTACAATTATCCTTAGCTAACTTGTTTTGAATAAAATTTTAAAAATTTTAAGGTGAGGGAGAGAGACAAGGAATTTGGACAGTAAGACAATATAAGGTTTTCATATAACTGTATGTTTAGCTTGCGGAGCTTTCTGCTTTGGAAAAAGAATTGAACGGTATGCGACCTTAACCGTCATTTACAGAATTTAAAATAGACAGACCTGAAAATCAAGAAACAAATTTTTATTTTGCCCTATTGAGTCTTGAAAAATATTGAGATATTTCTTGAATTTGATTCATTCAGACCATCAAAAGTAAGTAAACTGAAGTAGTTATTAATGAATACGAACAATGTTGACTACTTCATACCATCTCAAATATTTGTTTAAATCATTGAGGAACACATATCAGAGGATTTGCTGTCAGATCTCTGGTATTGGTGGCTGGGAAGGGCTCCAGATTTCTTCCTTTCTCACTCACTGCTTTTCAGATATGCTCAAGAAACTTCCTTGACAAAGCGAGGAAAGTAATTAACTAATACTTAAAGAGAATCATTGAGAAAGTGAGAGCGACAAAGAAGCACTCTGAAAATATCAAAATACAAAATGGAAACTAAGCCACTATCCCAGAATCTTGTTGCTTTACCTCATCCACTTGCGCACCTCTCTAACATGTGGTTTTGGTTTATAGATGGAAGCTTATGATGAAGTCCCATGTTAACACACAATCTTTGGTCATGTGACTGATGAACACAGTGATCTAATTTGTCACAACGATTCTCCAAACCGCACTTTCTCAAATGCTTGGTTTCTAGTGGAACCACTAACCATTCCTAAAAGATAAAAGTATATTTTTGCCTTTAAAATTTTTTTCGAAGAGTACCCAACACCTTAAATTATTTGATATAGCATTTTGACCCTTAAAATAATTAAAACATAACATTTGCTATCCTGACATTAAATAATGGACGTTGACAATTAATATAATGTGAAAGAAGGTAGTTTGATTATACAGCAGACATTTGTGAGAATTTAATATTAAGGTAGAAAATGTTATATTTTAATTAATTTAAAGGTAAAAATCCTACATCAAATAATTTGAAATTCTAGGTGCTCTTCAGATAACATTTTAGGGGCAAAAATGCACTTTTATTCTTTCCCAAATAACAGCTTGCATGCTACGAAAATCATTTGCTTGTCAATCAGAAACAAGTAAGATTATAAGATCCTACCGATTACTTGAAGGTTCTATTCTTTGTACACTACCTTCAGTTAGCACCTGTAGATTAGAACCTCTACGAAATCAGAAAGAACCATCTCTTATCAGATCCTTGTTTATAAATACGTGTTCCTTGACCTTTTTGGTCTCCTAACAATAATTTCGGTGCACTATGGAGCTACATACAACCAGGATAGGCATGGATGGCAGAGCCACGTCGACAACGAGTGAGAAGTCTGTGTGTGAGAAATCGATGAAGCTTGTAGCAAACATCATTAGGGTATCATCCTTTTCTATCGCACTAAAAACTGTTGGGACTACTTCCGGAAAGACTTGCAGGGGGCTTTCAAGCTCAGTGTCTGAATATGCTGATGTGATCCCTGAGAAGGAACAATTGGTTCCTGATCAGCTCCATGGAAGCAGAACCAAGAGTCGCGCTAACCCCACGTACGTGATGACCTGTCCAGTTCTAAGCAATGGATCAACCTCCCATGTGCAAGAACAGAAAGTCCACGCTAAGCAGAATGAAGGAGAGGGTAGTGACAGTGTCGATGTGTTGGCTACTAAGTTTATCGAAAAGATGCGTAAGCAGCTTGGATACGGTTCACAGAAGACTTAGAATATGCAGAAATATAGTCCTTGCTAGAAAATGAATTGAAAACGGAAAGTTAGACTTGTATGCTTGGTACGTTAGAAACTAGTGGAAAATCTTTTTCCTATGTTTATTCCTATTATCTTTTTGGAGGACTTTTCCACATACCAAAGGTAAGGTCTTTGAGGAGCTAAGTGATTATTATCTTCCTCTACTTGCGTCTATGTATCTATAAAACTATTTCATATACAATTGTTCTGGTTAATTAGAATAATATAGATTCAATAAAACTGACGTTAGGTCTTGTTAGCTTGGAAAAATGAATGAGTTTATAAGTTTCTGAAGTGGCTCAGCTTCTGTTATTGCTTCGTTGTATATTCCTTACTACTTGATCAACATTTCAGATGATGTTTTTGAAGAACCGATCGGTTAAGCCCATGAAGTAATACAGTGATAAGGAGGTAGCTAATTTGAAGTTGACCATTGAGAAATCTCGATAACGTCAGGTTCAAATTTGTTAAAAATTCATACACGTGTGTAGATGAGGCACAAGCAAATTATAAACAAGTGGACCAAAAATATGACCGCTAAATCATACTCAATATTTGAAGCTTTTGATTGCTTGGGTTTTTAATTTTTCAAAGCCAATAGAAGCAATTAGGAAGTTGATTTCTAGATCCCAATTGATTTTAGAAACAAGATTGATTGATAGCATTATTTGTTATGAAAAGATTATGTGCACCTATGCTTCATGTCAGATGATTAGCCAAGCTTAGAAGGAATTAAATAATGAATTTGATATAAAAATTGGAAGTTGAAACCTTTTGAGAAGGTTACCAAACTTTATTTTCCCCTCTGCTCGTGTGTATAAAATGTCTGTTGTTTTTCCATTTGGAATGGAATTGATAATTTCATCCCAATTTTTTTTTAAAGCTCTTTTTTCATCAACAATTTTATGCTTTAAATTGAATTGCAGATTTTGAGTATTTGTCATGGTATGCTTCCGTTCTTTCCCTCTTTTTATTATTTCTTTTGTTTCTCATTTTAATTGGCGTACGCATAAGAGAATTTAGAGTTATCCAAGTTTTTTTTCCCATTAGTGCGTGCCACTCTTCGATTAATCACCAATAGGAAACAAACAAGTATAATCATGCCGTTAAATATTATGACGGTGAAAAGGATAAAATATGGGAGAATTTCAGTTAAGAATCTAAGAAGATATATAATTTTTAATGGGTCTCTAAAAAATTTAAAATTTTAATTCAATCCTCCAATAATAAACTAAAAAGAAATTGAACGTAAAAAAGATAAAAATACTTTCATTCAAATATTAAAAAAAACACTAATCATAGTCGTTGGAGCACCATTGCCAATGATTGGAATCTCACCGACAACAATAGCCACTGGACCTCTGTTACCAAAGCTCCGACCATCAATTGAATCATCACTAGCGGCAGCTAGAGAATTGTAAAAAATTAAATTCTCCAAAGGTGGCCAAGGGCGAGTGTAAAACCCATGACCCTTTGGCTCACCAAAAGGTTATGAACAACCAAGCTATTAGACCAATTCAATCATGTAATGCATAAAATTATATATATAACAAACATTATTTTTAAACCACTTGATTATTACATTAGTTGTTAATCACGTAACTTTACTTATTAATGTCTTAACGAGACTTGTTAATTACTTAACTTTTTTTATTAACTCCATAACTCTTACAACAGAACTATATTACTTGTTAATCATGTAACTATACTTGTTAATATTCTTGTCAATTACATAACTTTTCTTATTAAGTTTGTAACTCTTACAATAAAATTACATTACTTGTTAATTGTGTAATAATACTTGTTAATACCTTAACATGACTTGTCAATTATTTCACTTTTCTTGTTAAGTTCATGACTCTCATAATAGAATTACATTATTTATTAATCACGTAACTTTACTTATTAATACCTAAACAAGATTTATTAATTACTTAACTTTCTTTATTAATTTCATGACTCCCATAACAAAATTACATTATTTATTAATATCTTAACAAGACTTGTCAATTACTTAACTTTTTTTGTTAAGTCCATGACTCACACAATAGAACTATTTTATTTATTAATCGCTTAATTGTACTTGTTAATTCCTTAACAGTACTTGTTCATTACTTGAATTTACTTGTCAAATACATAACTCCTTCAATTAAAATACATTACTTATTAATCATTAACTTTACTTGTTTATTACGCAATTTTACTTATTAATTTCGTGACTCCCTCAAAATTATTTATATAATAAATCTTATTTTCAAACCTCTTGAGTATTATGATAAGAAATATACTTGTTAAAAGCCCAATATAGCTTGTCATTTTTTTAATTTTAATTATTAATATTATATTTATTTTTTAGGATATTGCTCTATATATATGTGCATATATAATTGAGTATTCAGTTTGATTAATACTAATAAGGGAGACCCAACTGTCGTCAATTTTATTATCTAACAAACTCAATTTTTTATATAAATTATACGTTCACTTAACAAGAGATAATAAACAATCAACAAGTATTGTTGAGGAATTAACAAGTAAAGTTACATAATTAACAAATAATTTAGTTGCTTTTTTGAAACAACAGTTAAGCAAGTCTTGTTATGGTATTAACAAGTCAAGTTGTGCGATTAACAAATTTTTTTAAGGTATTAACAAGTAAAATTATGTGATTAACAAATAATATAGTTTTGTTATAGGAGTCTCAGACTTAACAAGGAAAATGAAGTAATTGACAAGTCTTGTTAAAATATTAATAAGTATAGTTATGCGATTCATAAGTAATGTAGTTCTATTATGAGATCACTGACTTAAAAAAAAAGTTAAGTAATTAATAAATCCTATTAAGGTATTAACAAGTAAAGTCCCACAATTAACAATTAATGTAATAATAATCAAGTGGTTAACGTAATAATAATTGATAAGTCCTATTAAGGTATTAACAAGTAATGTAATAATTAAGTGATTTGAAAATAAAGCTTATTATATTATGTATATAATTTTACACATTATATAATTTTATGGATTCAATGGTTTGGTGATCTATAACTTTTTGGTGAGCCAAAGGGTCATGAATTCTACACCCACCCTTGACCACCTTTAAAAAATTTAATTCTCCATAATTCTTTAATCACTATCGACAATTGCCTGACTAACGATTGGAACTTTGGCAATGAAGGTTCAATGACTGCCGTAACAGGCAGGACTCTGGTCACCGATGACAATGGTAGGCAATTTTTTTAATATTTAAATTGAAAATATTTTTATCTTGTCTACTTTTAATTTATTTTTAATTTAATCTTAAAAGACTAAACTAAAATTTCAAATTCTTTAAAATTTTATCAAAAATTATGCATCTTCTGATTCTTCTCCCGTCTTTAATTAAAATTCTCCCCTAAATATATAGTAATAGATCACAGAGCGAAAAGAATAGAAAGAATGAAATCATTGGCCCGGAAATAAATGACGAGAATGACAGTAGTCAAGGTGGTTCCGAACAAAGCCGAATATGACATGGCCCACAAACCACAGACATTCATGATGCAGTGGCAATCAGTCAACCACGTAGGCCATTAATGAGGACTGAGGAGTAAATAGAGGGAGGCATATTCATCAAAAGTAATTAAAAAAAAAACGTGGCTTATCCTGGTTCGAAGACACAGACCACAAAGAAAGAAAGCCACATCCAAGCTGATTTTCTAAGGGCAGAGAGCTATGGGAAGCTACTAAAATGTGTAGTCCACATCCAATTCTACTATCAGTAATGAACATGCAGTCCTCGTTATTTTCAACCAGCTGCATCAAACTACAGACATAAACGACTAAATAAACAAGAATCTAAGGTCATAAGCATTAGAATACATTAATACAACAATGACAGAACAGGACCTTTCCAGGGTCTGTACAACAAACCAAAGGATCAACTCCAGTCACATATATAGTTGCCTTCCCACCATCCTTCCCTTTGAAATTTTACTGTTTTCACCACCAAAAGAGACAGGAGATTAGATAAACATCACTGTGAACTTGAACCCAAGTTACTTTAGCTATGAACCACATACAGTCTTTCTTAATCTTCAGCTATCAAGCAACACTTATGATGTTATCTCCATTGTTGAAACACGGCATAGTAAGTATAGATGAATGCCTTGATGAAGTTTGTCTTTGATCAGAAGATAAGGATAACCCGAGAGACAACGTTGGTGGATCCACAGCTGAACTCGAAGTCGATGTGATATTGGACGCCTCAGAAGCTTTAGGATCTGAAAGAACAGTAATTGATCGAAGTAGCTGGGGTTGCCCATTTCCTTCCACCGTTCCTTGCCCTGGAGTAAGTTTTTCTATTGAATTCGAAATTGGGACTGAAATCATTCCAGAAACACCCATCGGATACATCGGCATCATCGGAAATCCATTTACGTAGTTAGTTTCTGGGGTTGCAGGACACACAGGATTTGAATGAGACACGTAATCTTGATGCTGGATCTGTTCTTCCACTGGGATTGCAGAGACCTGACACAGCAAATTGAAAATATTAGGAAGATTTGTTTCTCTCATCCTTCGAGTTTAGAAAATTCAAAGACTTATATTTGACTAGGTCTACCATGTCAAGTCTCAACTCTATCCATAGAAAACAGATAATCACGCCATCCTACTCTTTTCAACTTCTCTTTAACCACCAAGAAATTCTAGAACTAATCAAGGAACATGGAATACCACTAGTAATATATTCTTCTTTCTTCTCCCTAAATAAGCAAAAGTAAAACTCACGTTAACAACCCACGAGAAGACTAGAAACTAAATCAGGAATTCTAACAAGACTTAAATGACATTGAATTAGGATAACAGGAAATGAACATCAATTCAGACTAAGTTCCTGCCTTGATTCTCAACTTTTTTATTCTTAAAAAGGGAAGGGGTGAGGTTGAGTGTAAAACAGTACGGTCGTGGAATTACCGTGTCGGTGGTGATATCGAAAAGGCTGGATCTGCGGCGTCGGCGATTGAGGTTGCTTCGCCGGAGAAAGTACTTCTGAGCATGGCTCGCAACCTGTGTAGGCGTCCGAGTTTTCACGTAGTTCCTTGAGATCCCTCTCCAATCACCTTTCCCAACTTTCTGCAATCCTAGCAAGAACAGTTTGTGCTCTTCTTCCGTCCATGGAACTCCTGTTGAATTTACAGTACTATATAAGCCAAAATCAATCTCAATGCATATCAACCGTCACGTTTCGTTTCCAACGAGACCCAACGGTTTTTAGATTAAAAAAAAAACTAATAACACTATTTGAATCGGCAGTTATTCTTGGCGGAGCTATCAATTTCGCTCATAACAAAATCCAAGCAAACAAACGAAAACACAATCCAAATTCCGCGAAACAATAGACCGCCGTGAAGAAAGCCAGAATTGATAAACGATCAAAGCTTTTGATCGGACCTCGCTTACGCTCACGCTCGCGATGCCTGCCAGAATTATGAGCAGCAGCTTCATCGGCAGAGGCATAGCCGGCAGCCAGAGCATCTTCCTTGTTGCCGTTATTATTGTTCGCGGCATCCTGAGGATGCTCGTACTGAGAGAGATTATTCATACTCACGCTCTTCCTCATGGAATCCACCACGACTCTAACCCCAAACAGCATGATCTCTCCGGCCGAACCATCACCATCGGCGCTTACGGCAGGATCGGCTGCGGTGCAGGTGTGAGACATCCTCCAATGGACCGTCAGAGACGTCGAACGTTAAAGAGGGAAGAGAGTCCGTTCAAGCTAAGTCTGAGAGAAGAAGTAAAGGGAATATTGAGGCGAGTGCGGCGGCGAGAGACTCAGAATCGGTGGTGTGTGGTGTTTTTATATAGAAAAGAGAAACCAGAGACAAAGATTAGGTGGCAACATGTGGAGAGAGCATGGTGAAATTACGGATGAGTGGATTTTGTGCGCGCGCTTAGACGCGTGTCGCTTTCTTATTCGCTCGTATATCTGCCACCACCATGTGTAATATTTTGTCTTTTTGTCCAATCTAATCTTCTATTATCTTCAGGCAGTTTGGTGAGTTTTTTATTTCTTGCTTTTATTTCTGATTATTTTTTGGCAATTATTTCTGATTATTTTAGTATATCTTCTCCTATCGGCTATATATATATATATATATATATATATATATATTAGCCTTGATCAGCTAACTATATTTTATTCTCTGTAATAAATGCAGGTGAAACAGCACTTCCTAAAATTTTTTATTCGATCATCGATGGCATGTGGTAGTAATTTTTAAGTTAGAAAATAGTTTTGACACTATTTAAAAATATAAAATATTTTTAATTAAATATTATTTTTATAAAATAATTATTTATTTTTAAATTAAATTTATTTTTTATATTTATCTTTATTAAATACCCTACAACAAATATAAAATCATTCAATAAGAATACTTTAAAAAAAATAATAATTATATCTCTAAAAATTAAAAATGTCTTATATTTTTTAATATTCAACTTAAAAAATATTTTATATTTTTAAATAAAAGGAGTAATATTTACTTTTAATTTTTATTTAAAAATTCTATCTAAAAAAGGTTATTGTAACCTTCACCCGGTTCAAATTTTTTAACTTGAATTGTGTCTTATGACAAGAAACACATCTACTTACTCTTCTAAAGTAATTGTATACAATATAAGAAATGTCTTAAAAAAAGCTTTTACTAAAAATCAAGAAGTGACATTATTTTAACAATGTGTCATATTTTATTATTTTTTTATAAAAATATACAAATATTTTATTCATTAAAAAATATAAAGTAATTTTAAATAATTTTCATTTCTCATTGAAGTAGTTAACTTTCTTCAAATTAACATCAATATCTTTTATATTTATTCTTTTCAGTAAAGTATTTTATTTAAAAATAAATATAAAATGGTTCATTTATTAAAGAAATTTTAAAAAAACACATTAATTATATCTTAAAATATCAAAAATGCCTTATATTTTTTAACATATATTCTTAAAAAAATTACCTTATATCTTTTAATAGGAGAAATTGTTATTTACATCATTATTTTTTATGTTATATTTTCGCATGTAAAATGTAATTTAAGCTCCTTGGATGGTTTTTTTTTTTCAGGAAATTGGAGATTTTCGTTAATTAATGTGAAGGAATTTTTAGTTGTGTCACGACTATTTAAAAGAGGCTGACTTCCCTATAAAATGGAACATTCTTATTAAAATCAAGCACTGCCAAAGAGGAGACCAAGAGAACATATGAGATGTTATTGTTAACAACGAATGCATAAAATGCCCATTGCAAAACACAGAGCATCTGATTTCTGTTTATACTAGCAGTGGAAGACGACATCATGCGATATTTTTGGAAGATCTAATTTCTTCTAATTTATCATGGCATGTGTTAAATTTTTTTCACAAGTATTATTACTTTTATTACTATTTTAAATCACCACGAAACATTGTAAATAGTTTTAGTACATGCGCATTTAGGTAGATAGTTTCATTTGGGATTTTAAGTCCTCTGAATTTTGCTATTAGAGGTTTGATGAAGATGGGAACATCCCAAATGAATTTTCCTCAAAAGTATCAAATGTTATCCAATCCTGGGCTTCAAATCATCCCTAATAATATAATTTGAAGATCATCTTGGTGGAATATAATGGATAAAAGGTGCTTATTCAATAATGTAAACACTATACCAAATGAATGATGTAATGATACAACCACGAATTGAAATGACCATGCGCGTCTGATTTATGGAGGGAAAAATTAGAAGCATTTTGCCAGCAATTTTTTTTGCATTAAAACCACTCCCACCCATCAAAAACGCAACATTTTAATTATTACATGGCATAATTCTGTGGTTTGATGTAAGCAATGGTTATGATGCTCCTAGCTTCACCAAACTTTAGATAAGAAAATGTAGAGGATTTGAATTGGTTTCTCTTGTTCATAAATGGTCATAGCCTTATAGGTAATTACATCAATAACCAGTGAATTTTTGCGTGCGCATGTGTATATATTATAAGATTATCATGTAATTTTGAAATTGAATACATTTTTTCAATGATCTAAACGAGGATAAGCATGGGATCCACCATAGGAACTACTTGGTAATTAAAAAACAGGAGTTCAACTAGCATAGATCAAGAGTCAAACAACTTGTCTCGTGAGCTAACCTAATAACCTACAAGGACTGAAATTAAAAAAAGTGATTGTGAGAAATGCTCAAGCTTAACCCTCCAAAGTGGAATCCGAAGACTGACAAGTGGAAATTAATATTTTGACCGAATAAAACAATGAAGATTGGGGGGACAAGTCCGAAGAGCCTCCATTATTTTTGTTCTTATTTTAATATTCAGTGTTATCGCCAACCCATGGGCTATCACTAGCCTTTTCTCAAAGGCTTATTAGACTCTCACATGCAAAGCACCAACACTGTGGCTTAGATATTAATAAATTTTAATTATCCATGGACCCTATATATATATATATATATATATATATATTTTTTTTTCGTTTAAAAATGTAAGACATTTTTAATTGAATCTGACGCACAATAAAATAGTTACTTACTTTTTAATTAATCCTTTCTTTTATATTTACCCTCATTAAACACCTTACAACAAATATAAAGTCATTATCAATAGGAACACTTTTGAAAAAAAGTAATAATTGCACTTTGAAAGACTAAAAATGCATTACATTTTTAAACATCTAACTCCTAAAAAACTGTCTTACATTTTTTAACAGAAAAAGTATAAAGACACAGTTACCGAATTTTATTTGGTACTACTACTAATAAGTCCTCAAGGTGGCATCAAATTGTAAATATTAAATCTAAATTATTTAAAATATATTTAAATGATTAATTTATAAAATTTATAAACTTTTTAATTGTAAATTAAGTTATCTAAATTATACTTAAACTATAAAGAGTCTATTTGTATAGTCAAATTATAAAATTATAATTTTTTTAATATTAAATTGAACTGTTAGATTAAATCCGTACTGACCATATTGATAATAAATAAATATATTAAAATTTTTATATTTTTATATTAATAAATATGATATTAAAAATATTTAAAAAATTAATTGAAATATATGGCAGGGATCAAATAAGGCTGAAATGAAGGATCATGATTTCTTCTGACCTGATGAGCATAATGATGAGCACTAAATGCAATTGGCTCAAGGATTGGAATTGAAAGTGAATAGAAAAAGGGGTAAAATCACCAAAGTGTCTTGATATTTGACTGATTATTAATCGATGTTGAGTGCAAGAGTGTTCATGGGACAAGTCCCGTCTCGAAAAAAAGATCGAATTGAATTTTTGTCTCATATCCCGTCCCATTCTAAAAATCGTTTTGTCCTGTTAGGAATCGGGACTAGATTGGAACGTTCCGCCGTCCCAATAAATAAAAAAATGTCAAATAAAGATCTGAATAATAACATTCATTAAATTTAAAATCAAAACAACATAAGTACATAAATCCCAACAATTTAAAGTCAATTATTGAATTATATTAATCATAACTACACATTATGATAACAATTACAAGCGATCTTTAGGCAATAAGAGTAGCAACAGCCAAGCACAACATCAAATCATTATTCTTCTACTTTACTTAAGATGTGCTAAGCTAATTACTCTTTCAAAAATAAAACAAAAAGTACAGTATAAATAAAAGTTATTAAATAGATAACTATAAAAATAAATTGTATTAATATATTAATATATTAATATATTATAAAGAAAGATATCGTCATGTTTCTTCATGTCAATAAAATTATTGATATAAAAAATTTTAGTTTTATATAAGAATTGCAAATATTGACATTATAATTGATATAATTAATAAATATCAGTTATACTAATACAATCAATATATTTAATGTATATTTTAAAAATAAAAAATAATATATATAATATTCGGGACGGGACGTTATAGTAATCTCGTGTCCCGTCCCATTTCGAACCCTTTCTTATTTCATCTAGCAAAATCTCATCTCGATTGTTTTCAAATTGGGACGAGACCTGTCTTAATATGATTGAAACGATATCAAGCCAATCTGAACAGGTAGAAGCTAAACATTTCTAGTTGAATGGCATCTAGGCCACGTGCAGTTGAACAAGTATATTTTATTTTAATAAATTTTAATTTAAATATTTAAATTTTCATGTTTCTGTTTCACATATTTACAAATCTAATTGCATGGTTTTGCATAATTTGTTGAATATATAAGTGTGTGTCATCAATCGTAAATAACACGATTTGACTTGTCAAAATAAATTAAAAGTTAAGAAAATTAAATACATATATTGGCCTCGCCAACTTGGTTTAATCTGTCCGGACAATCTAAATTCTTAAATTATTTTAAATATTTATTATTCTTTTTAAGGATTAAAAGTTAGCGTCATTTGTAATTTTTTAAATTTAAACTACACAAAAAGTTTATAAGTGCAAGATAAAAAATTTCATTGACTGAATAATTTACAAAAATTTTAATATAATTGTTTTCAGTTGAATTTTGGTCTTTAAATTAACTCCGATTGACATTAGATATATCTGCGCATAATCCTGATTATTATTAAATAACACCATCCTGATCAGCACTATGAGTTTATTAATAGAATAGTACTACTTGCAGTTGCAGTTATAATTAAATTATTTGTTAGCCCTCTGTTTATAAAGTCTTGGCCGTAAACCAGCTAATCGATATGCTTTTCTCTGTCTCTGTGTGTGTGTGTTGGGGGGGGGGGGGTGTTATATAATGTAATTTATGAAAGAAGTATATTATTATGTCAGTAAATAAATAATATCATTTCTTTCATATATTCTATGCAA